CTGCCTGGGATAGGCTCCAGGCCCCCAGTGACCCTGACCAGGAGTGTGGAAGATAGATGAATGATTATTTAGCTCCCCCTACTGGCTACTGAGTAATTTTCACAATATGTTATTCCTATACACAGCATTCACTATTTATTTCATAGTATACTATCTTTTATAATAAATATTTTATAACCAACATTTACTTTAAAATGTATTTGATTTTCTTTACTGTTCTGTGTTCTGATGAGTATGTCTCGTTAAAACAAAGTAGTGATGATATGTTCTTCATTGGTAAAAATTTCTGCCATGTTCCTGTGTTGTGACTGTATTCTCAGGTAACAAGAACCTTTCTGTTCATAATCCCAGCTCCCAGTTTCCATGGCAACATAGTCACCATCAGACCTATGGAAAAATCCTGGACAAACACAAAATACATTTGACAAAACTCTGAGCAATCAGTCCACTTTGCATAGCTCTCCTGTTCAGTCTATGAATTTATATTGGCATGAACACGTAGATATTGTCACACAAACTACACATGAAATATACAAATTTAAACTCACCTCTCATAGATAAAACTAGTTCCTACTGCTTTTGAAATTCTGCTGAGTCATGCTGTATATGACACAGATAATCATGGCAGGCACTTGTCCCCATGCCTACTATATGCAAATATATTTATTAGATGAAAGAAAAAATCCCATCTACATATTGTGTGACCTGCTGTAATAGGTTTGCTTGTCTCAAAGGGGATGTTCGAGTATATAAATAAAGTTCTTTCCAAAAGAAAAACACTGAGCATGTTCAAAGGATGCAAAACTCATCACCTTTAAGAAACCATCTCTCCAATCATCATCCACAACTGCTTATCCAGTAGAGGGTTGCAGTGTTTGCTTGGAGCCAACCCAGGAAGCCCAGGGCACAAGGCAGAGAAACACCCTGGAAAGGACGGCAGCCAATTGTAGGGCCTTGTAAGAAAACAGCTCTATGCTGTTTTATTTTGTTGTTGCCTTGTGACAGAGAAATGAACATTTCGCTAGAGCTGGAAACATACCAGTACTGCTATCCAGCAGCTAATGGAACGTGTGTTAAAAGTAGCTACTCTGGATTTGCCAGGTTTGCCTTGTACGTGTTTTTTGCGTCAGGGATGACCGTGACCATCATGGGGAACCTGGTGGTCATCATCTCCATCGTGCACTTCAAGCAGCTGCACACACCGACCAACATGCTGGTGATGTCACTGGCCCTGGCTGACCTGCTTCTGGGGGCCGTCGTGATGCCCTTCAGCATGATCAGATCAGTGGAGGGCTGCTGGTACTTTGGAGATTTTTTCTGCTCATTACACTCCACTTTCGACTTGTTCCTCTCATGTGTTTCAGTCTTTCACCTGATTTCCATTGCAGTTGATCGATACCAGGCAGTTTGCAATCCACTGCGGTACCATAACACAGTGACCATTGCTGTGGCTTGGCTGATGGTAGCGTTGAGCTGGGCTGCAGCTGCTTCTTACTCCTGTGGTCTCCTTTACTCTAAGGGCAGTGTGACAGGCCTAGATGGATACACCACTTCCATAAATTGCTTGGGGAGCTGCATCCTTCTGCTTAATGTGCTATGGAGCACC